CGTCCAAACAGACCCCTCACGTCGTCATCTCTTTCTTCACCTCCAAACGACCCCTCCAATCGCAGGAAAAAACCAGTCGACCCCCCCTCCCCTTCCGCCATTGACGAGTTGCGTCAACCCCAAGCTCCACCGCTGTCGCTGCTTCTGCTCAACTCATGTCCCATGGCTGCCCAAACCACCACCATCTACGCCAAGCAACACAGCCACACACAATCACCATGGCTGTTGCGTCATCTCCCTCAGCTCACATCCAAACGAACCACCATAACACCATCGCTGCTGCTGCGTTGCTGCTCCTTCTTCTTCGGCAGCCACTACTGCTGCTTCATCCATGAACGTCGCCTCCATTAACAATCAGCAGTCCCTTCGTCGACCTCCCATGGCTGTTGCTCCTTCTTCTTCGTCGTCTCCCTCAGCTCACGTCCAAACGAACCCTATCTCTTGCTTTGCTGTGAACCCTTCAGCAGTTTTCATAGGGTAAAATGAGCCTAGATACTGCCAGAGCAGAGCTTGCCCTTGCAGTCTTGTACTTGAACAAAGTGGGGAAAGGGACAAGATATGTAGGGCTATACAATATGGTTCAAAATGCCTGAGTAATGGAGAGCCTGGCGCTGCACAAAATGTCGACAAATCAACTAGCTTAGCAAGGAAAGTGTTTCGTCTTTTCAAGTTTATCAATGATCTGCATGGTCTTATTAGCCCAACTGCCCCAGGAACCCCACTTCCTCTCATCTTGTTGGGAAAGTCAAAAAATGCATTGCTGTCAACTTTCTTGTTTCTGGATCAAATTGTGTNTTGTCAACTTTCTTGTTTCTAGATCAAATTGTGTGGCTTGGAAGGACAGGCATTTACAAGAACAAAGAACGCCCAAGAACCCACCCTACTCCTTCCACGCACACACACGGAGGAAAAGCAAAGCAGTCCGGTTAAAGTCCAGCAAAGTTCTGTCAAGGTCTCGTTTGGTTTTGTTTGAGTCCGTTGTTGTGCGTCGTTCGACGAGGTCCAGTCTGAGTTCGTCAAGGTTAAAGAGAAGGTGGGTTTTCATTGAAGTCGAGATCCATTAGGTCGTTAGCAGTCTTGGTTCGAGTTCGTCATTGTTCATTTCCGGTTAGTGGGTTTTAAGTTTCATTTATGTCCGTATTTTGTTTGATATTCTCGGATTTGAAATCAATATATGTTTAATTCTTTTCTTGTTTGTCGTTTATCGTTTTTTGATTATTTCTTCAGATTGTTTTATGTTCTTGTTTAGTTTAATATAGAAATTGTTGGTTGTAATGTTGTTAGATTTAATTTGAAGTCCAATTGATTATTGAGTTTAGTGATTTGAATCTGTTTATTTGTTTTGTTTAAGTTTAATTTAAATTTGAGCTCAGTGATTTGAATATACTTGTTTATTATTGTTGTTGAATCTGAAAATAGGTTTGTTGTTAAAAAATATTGTTCAGTCAAAATAATTCCAGTTGTTTCTTTGTTGTTCATCATTTAGTTTGAATTTGTTGTTTGAATTTGATTAGGAATTGGTTATAGCTGCTGTATTTTGGTTAGAATGATTAGGTGAATTGGTTGTAGCTAATGGGGGTAGAATGGTAAATTACAGTATTTCCAGGGGTAAAATGGTAATTTCAGTAATTTCAGAGGGGTATTTTTGGAATTAAAATTCTGAACAATTATTTATTTTGAGTGATCTGTCCATTAAGCTAATAATATTAAAATAAGGTATTAAAATAATATAGTGGGGGACAAGACATGTGGTAGTGGGGAATTAATACATTATTTAATATAGTGGGGGACAAAGCCTGCGGTAGTGGAGAATAATAGAATTAATTAAAGAAAAGATATGGGTTAGTGGGAACTAATGTATTTGTTTAATATAGTGGGGGACAAAACATTAAGTAGTGGGATTAAAAAGGGGGATGAGTGGAGGATAGTGGGATTTAATTTAAATAAGGAGAGTTTGGCTATAAATAGAGGGGCTAGATTGGAGAAAAGGAGGATTCCGAAAATAGAGAAAAAAAAAAGATTCCGAAAATATTAGGGAGAATTCCGAAAATATTAAGGAGGATTCCGAAAATATTGAAAGGGGATAGGGGATTGGTTGAATATTGAGAAACAATTTCGAAGGAGATTCGAAAGAGATAGTAGTATACACCCGATATACAATCCGCATACACTAGA